GTTGGATAACAATATTTGTAAGCACAAGGCTTCATTTAAACGAAGTCATAATAGCTATTCACTTACACTACCACCCGTTCTTAATTGGATAGATATCTAGTTCGTATTGTTGTACTAGCTCAAGGACAGTCATTCACTTGAAAATTGTTCAGCTGTGAATGCATTTCTTCTTGTTCCATGAGCATACTTTATCTATTTTAGCGACAGGGACGAAAGGCTGCAGAGGAAAATGACTATTTTAAATTCATTACTTGATTCAGACTATCTCAGTCAGTTTTTCAAAAACACGCTCTTTGTGCTGCAAGACGACCATGTTTTTCAGTTCAGTTTTTTGTTCTTCACAAAAGAACAGGAAGTCTGAGAGAACTGCTTTTAAAATCCTCGCTAATGACACACTCACATGTAAAGTCCATCTACCGTGATGAGAGCAGTATTTCTCAATAGAAATCAACACTTCAGACTTTTTATAAAGTTGTGTCAACTACACCAAGCCATCATTAAAAGTAGTCACTAGTGAATCTGAAACTTAGTGTGTGTAAACTGACATACGGATCTTGGAAACTACTGTACAGGTTTAAAAGCTGTGGCTGAGAGTTTGAGGGGTGGTTGGAAAGAAAAGAAGAAATGGAAAGGAAGGTAAGATCAAGAGACAAAAGGTGTTAATGCATTAGTCTTTCACCTCTGGAGCTACAGATGGGTGCAAATGCACTTACCAGTAGGTCACAGTTTTATGGGCACATATTAACTCCCAGTTACAAAGCTACCCAGAACTGACAGTGCCTGCTCAAGTGAGGCCTGCGACTAAAAGTGCAGAAGGGCTGCAGGTCAGAGCGTGCCTATACAAACTGGCAGCACTGGGTGAAGAAGATGGCGCAGTGCTATGTTTGGCATGAGCAGGCATAAGTGCAAGTATTACTTTAAATGTTAACTTCATTGATAAAATCTATAGTCTGTTTAGAATGACATCTAACAAACTATGATAAAATAACACTAGGATTGCAAAGTCAAGAATCCAGAAGTTAGGAGATGACAGTTCAGCTCCCTTGTGCATATGCATTATGACAGTCTTTAATTATATGCCCACATACTATTTTTTCCAACAGGACCCATGCCTTATTCAGTGCACAAAATAACAGCTGTTCAATATTTTGTTTGCTCGCCACTGTTCAATTTTAGGTCTTATTTACTGTACACTATCCAAACCCTACTTGGGAGGCAGAATTATTTGCTTCCTCATGGACTTTTCTGTAGCCCTCATCACTACAGTATCTAAGGGCTTTACAAATATTAATGAATTTATTTTCACAGCACCCCTGTGAGGCAAGGTGGTATAACTATCCCCATTTTACAGATCGGGAACTCAGGCACAGAGTGATTAAGGCTGAATGTGTCCACTAATTTTGGATGCCCACTTTGAGATGCTTAGGACCTGATTTTTCATAGTAATTAGCATTAGCATTTCATAGCACTTCAGTTGCAGCTGTAAATGCTTAACACTTCTGCAAATCAGACCCCGGGGTATTAAGCCAGGCACCCACAAAATAACAAACACATAATTAGTGACCACCTATGAAAAGTTTGATTTTAAGTGACTTGCCCAGCATCACATAGGAAGTCTGTGTCAGAGGCAAGGACAGATTCAGATTCTCCAGGGCAACAAAATTCCACCGCTTCAACCACGAGACCATCCTTTCTCCTTCTCTTTTCAACTTCTGCAAGAAATGAGGCAGCCATCCTACAAATAAACAGCCTCTCACTATACAATCTAGAGCATTCCCAGAGCAGGTCCATCCTATGCACTCAATGAGGTACGGTGCTGTGGAAAAAATAGTATTTAATAATATGATCACACTATGATAATAGGGCCAAATAAAGGCTGCACAGACACAAAGGTTGCACTGGGAAAAATTCACTCGGTGATAGATGCAGAATATCAAAAATTTCAGCCCAAATGTTTAAATTTTAGCAAAGCTGTAAGCAACTAAATACAGGCTCTCACAGTGGGAAGTGTCGGGCAATCCTAACTTTAGGCAGCACCACCAGCTTTGCCTATAACACAAGCTCTCTCTCAGAGAGAGTGTCATCTTTTGTGTTTTGTACAAAATCAAGTACACCGACGGCTCTCAATAAAAACATACTGATAGGAACAAATGAGTTGTCATACTGGATTAGTTCTGTCTCCTAAGCATCTAGTAGATGCAACTATGAAGTGCTAGGGGATAGATTTGTTATAACAAATACTCAATACACATTTCACCACCTAATTTGAATGCCTACGTTTAGAAACATTGTCACTTTTGTATTTGGACCAAGGGCTTAAACAAAGAAAAAGAAAAAGACGAACAAACGCGCAAAACTACTTATTTGATCAAATTAATAGCTTAGGGCTCTCAAGATGTCTGCTTTATTCATAATAGTCTCGCTTCCAGAAGAACACAGCCTGCAGAAAAGTCATCAGGAAAAGTAAAGTTGACAAACATTAACAATTAAGAAAGTTGTTAAGGTTCCCAGAGGGAGGGATAAGGTATCTATAGTAGAAGGCATAAAAGGAAGTTGGCCTTAGAGAGAAAAAAACTGCTTTTGGAAGAGGAGAAGATACAGTCACAACCTAAATACAAATGGATGATACTAGCTAGTGACAAAATGAAACTTTAAAGTACGTCCTAATAGAAAATTAGAGATTATGGAATTTTCATAACCAAAATAAATCCTTTTTCATACAGCAATGTAGGGCTTGCCGTTCAAAGGTTTCAAGGCTTTAATCATGACCTGCAGACATGACTGACAAAGGTTCATGCCTTGAAATACTACATCTACAGAAGCCGTGTTCTGGGAAGAACAGTCTTTTTGAAGGATTTGCCCTGTCTTCTGAAATAGAAAAATCTAGCCAAGAGGGGTCCAAGAAAGGGATACTTACAGATGCTAGATAGCTGAAAACCAGAAATGTAACAAAGAGGCTAAGTTGAAAAGTATTATAAAAATAAGAAGAAAAAAGGAGGGACCTGACCTCAATTGGAGAATTTTGATAGCATTTTCCAAGAGATTGCATTATCCTACCTATGTGGATTGGTATGGTGGCATTTGGAAGTGAAAGGCAGCAGGTAAGCCTAGAAAGAATAGAGTACCTAAAATGTATGAGCAGGTCTCCCACAAGTTGAGTACAAATGTCAATCTTTCCAATTCAAGGAGGAAAGAATAATTCTGAAATTCTCTTCATCAACAGATTCAATGTTCTAGGATCAAATAGTATGGGCCACCTGATTTTGTTGGGATAAGTAAGTATCAATTGTATTTAGTATTAACAGCGGCCCAATTTCAATTTGGAGCAACAGGTTTTTGCTCAAGAACAAAGAAGGGTCTGTCTTACTGCAACACAATTTAGTGAGAAGGTTCCCAGCAAAAGACGTCCCCATTTGTCCATTCCAACCACCCATTGCATTGTCAGACACGTAGACTGTGGACTCTCTGTGGCTGGCCCTGTTTGTCACCCAACTGCACAGAGCCTGGCACAATGGGGCCATAATCCTACTACTGAAGTTGTTGGTACTACTAAAATATCAAATTAGTGTCGCCAACCCTCGGTGCACTCAGCCACCACTTGCTATAATAAATTATAAGTAGCCCCTTGTTCACAGAACATAATCTCTATAAACTCTAAATACCCTGCCTGGTCGTGATTTTTAAACACGCACTGTCTTCCAATACGTTCAGGCTTTAGTTGGAATCCTATAGCTCCAAAGCAGAGAATAGCTTAAAATTAACAGCTACGGTATTCAGAGATGGTCAAGAATGGAGTGAGAAGAAAATGGTTATAGAAAGTTACTATTTTACAATAGATTCACTCTGGAATTGTCAAATAAGAGCCCAAGGGAATTGTATACCCAATTCCCAGTGAAAGTCAATGGAAGTTAAGTGCCTAACACCCATGGGCCTTTTTGAAAATCCAAGTCTCCGTAATTCAGAAAAACTAAAGATGCATTAACTGACATATTGACTGATTCAAATACTGCCCTTTAATTCTTGTGAGTTTCTCTTCTTACCAAAGAGATTAATTAGTTGATTATAGGTTAAAACACCCCTTCTTACACATGCTAAAGGGCTGGCCTTAATCCTCAATTACACCCACGTATTGGATCATTTCTCTTTTCAGTGGATTTCCAAATCACTACAAACATTTCTTGCTTAAAGAAGTTTTTTTTTGCAGTTTGATAAAGGAACTTATGAAGTCACCTTGTACAACTACCCCAGAGTGGGCTCCCTGTTAATGTTAAATACTTTATTTCCCCTTATTCTAGCATAAAACAGGACAAAAGAAAGAATCATATGAAGAGTCACTAAACAAAACCAACGTATCAGTAGTTGGAAAGGTCCATTCTTTTAATATCTTCAGTGATCCCCCAAGGACTTCACATTTTATTTTTTAATCTCTGAAGACGACATAAGGTCCATTAAATAAAAATGGGGATGATCTTTTCTACTGACAGGCTAACAGGATCTGAAACTAGACTGACCAAATATAGAAAAGGCGAACTTGGTAAATTGTGATTACACAGTCCATTGGATTTATTGGTGAGAGACGCTGTTGCATGTGTTTGGACTTTGATGATTAGATTGGAAACCATAAGCCACAGTTTGTGTGTGCGTGGTTTTTTGCAATAAGGTCCTGAGCATCATCATAACAAGTAAAGTGGAACACTTTGAGATATTTGTCATGCCATGGAAAACAGGCCAGGAGCAACAGAAGAATCAGTAATCTTCAGTAAAAGAAGAATACTGCAACTCTCCTCTTCCATAGTACATTCCACTTATGATTTTGATGAAAACCGCAAGACAATTTTATAACATCACCACCTCATGTTTTAGAGCATCACTCTACCATTCAGATAGGAGAACATTCAAAATTAAAAACTGTAATTAATTAATTAAAAACGTTTCAAAGTCTGTTTGCTCAGTTCACGTTTCACTGCAAGGCAAAAGTAGCTAACTGAAAAAACCCATACCTGTGGCCTCATTCTTGGATTCCATCTGATGTAGTAATTTACCCACAGTTCCAAATGGTTCAGACTGGCAACAGGATACAGGACGTGGTTTTCATAGTTTACATAGAAAGGATTAGTAAATTCATCTAGTTGACTGTTAATGTAGGACCATAAAGATATAGTCTTTGTATTTATCTCCTGAATAAATAAAAAGAATGGTATTTTAGTATACAGGGATAGCTCAGTGGTTTGAGCATTGGCTTGCTAAACCCAGGGTTATGAGTTCAATCCTTGAGGGGGCCACTTAGGGATCTGGGGCAAAATCAGTACTTGGTCCTGCTAGTGAAGGCAGGGAGCTGGACTTTCGGGGTCCCTTCCAGCTCTATGAGATAAATAAATATAAGGAGATATACCTATTTAAACAGCTGTAAGACTTAAACATAGTTGCAAGATTTTCATTTCCCCACAAAACTGTTCAGGAGCAGAATGGAGATTCTAGTATATTTGGGGGCTAATTTTGCTTTTTGAGCAGATGAGTGTTACACTGCTTATAACCCTGCCGTGGTCACGATAGCCGGTCATATCCATAACAACACACTGACCAACCCAAAATGTGACAAAATTAAATTAGCTAGAATCAGTGAAGAGAAGAATGTATCCTTTGGAATAACCAGTACAGTATTTGAGGAAAGTGAGTGTCATTTATTTTTTCCTCTGTCTGCTTACAGCCATCTAAATAATGCACTTTTAATTAAGTGTCCAGTTTTAGCTTTATATGCACTTTTAAAAAACTATATAATAAAAAAAAATCACAATAAAACCATAAAATCAAGAATTCAGATTCTGAAACCGTATCAGCTTTATCTTGCAATTTTATACTCCTTCAATACTATAAAGCATCTGTTTCTACTACAGCTGTGTGTTAAATTGCTCTTTTCTTTCTTTCTTGTTTTTTTTTAAAGGGAGCTGCATCCAATTATCCATTTGTGAAAGAAAGCTGTCTGGTAATCACGTACTTACTGAGAATGTATTATTTAGCTCCATCTTGTGGTGTACACATGCAATTTGTTGTACTAGATAAGCCAGCCGAGCCAGAAAAATACCAAAGCTAAACTGGTGTATGCATGCAATTTGTTGTACTAGATAAGCCAGCCAAGCCAGAAAAATACCAAAGCTAAACACAAACACTAAGGGACGGTTAATTATTTTACTGAAAGCATGAAGTGTGATGGAGAGGAGAAGGCCAACCACAAATGTACGTTTTAAGCATAGTAATAATACTTTGAGACTGGATGAAGCATGCTGTAGAAGGTGAAAAGTGCTTCAGAGTGCTAGTGCTAACTTCACTAACATTAAAATATTTTAAATTCTCTCCCATCCTTCAACCTCATGTTCCATCGTCAATAATCAAATCCTGCTTCAAACGATGCCCCAGTCTGCAGTGTACTGGTAACGTCACATCAACCATGGAAATCCTTTACAGCTGGCCAAGAGAATTTTGGTAAGAAGTGTTTCAGAGGTTTGTGCATGGGCTGGGACATCATCTGGAACAGCAGTTCATGATCTACAATGAGGTGGAAGGTGTAGAGCCTAACATAATTAGAAAAATGTTTTAATTCAACAATGTTGTGGAGTGGCCCTTCATCTGGTTATGGGGATGTTTGGAACATACTTCTCATATAGCTGTAACATTCAATTCATTTCGAGGCCAGCTCTAGACGCTTAGATGACAATAAATTCCACTAAAACACAGGCTCAAATGTTCTTCTGTCTCATACTCTAAGCACCTCTCCATGAAATCATCATGTCAAACAGAAGCAAGTGTAGAACTTACCTCTTTTAATCGCTCTTGTTCACAGTTGTATAAAAAAGTCCCAAAGAGACAACTATAAAGGTGATCCAAAATGGTGATCAGAAATAGTTCATTGAATTCAAAGGCTGCAGGAAACTTTAAAAAAATATATAGATTTTTATGTATTAAAGTTATTTTAAACTTTTATTATCCATAATAAAGAGAAGCAGCCTTATAAATAAGGTAACAACCAAGAAATTCACACAAAAAAAGGATGATTTTTTGGAAAAGTGGGTTTTACATCTATTGACAATTTTAAGAAATGCTAAGCAATTTTGATAATCTCCATTGTACTTAGATAGTGCTTTTCATTGCAAATCTAATGACACTTTACTAATATTCCTAAGCAAGTGTTATATCCATTGTTCTAACAATTGAGACGCAAACATGGAGTGATCTGCGAACGTTAACAGTGACACCCAGCAACAGGACCAAGAAGCCCTAACTGGCAGTGTCCTGCAAACAATGCATCAAGTTATTTGCTTTGTTATAGAATGCCATCTTAAAAAAAACCACTTTTGGCATTTAAGAGCTTTATTTACTAAACTAATGTACAATAAATTGAATAGTGAAGATTATTGCATGTACAATATGTTTAATAGTAAATATGTATTTAAAAATACTTCCTTCTCGTTCCACCCAGTTTACATTGTCCCCTAATTCTCCCCTTGAGTTTATTATCCACTATGTAGAATAATCCTCTAATCCATCTTCCTTTTCATATTAAAATGTAAATCCTTCACATCTGGAAGGAAAGAAATATTATGCCAATACTCACCATTACATACTTTCTTCATAACTAACTAGAGGTTTTAAAGTACCTACGACCATATATATATATATATATATATATATAATAGTAAAATTACAGAATGTTCAACAATTATGAAACAAAAATCCAAGACACCTGCAATTTTAAGAGCCCTACACATTGAAAGAATTAATAAATAAAACTACAAAGGCTGGTACTCATTCAAATGAGAAAGGATTCTCTCAATAATCAGATTAAGTATTCTGTGATTGTCCACAACTGCCCCGTCCATAGGACAAAGTAATTCTGCCCCTAGATAGTATGGGGATGGACTCAAAGAGTTACAGAGAAAGGAAAATACTTTTTAAACAGGAGAAGAAATTTTTTTTAAAAGAGTGGAGTATTCTTCCATGAAAAAAGCAGCACCTCAATAATGAGAAGTCTTTGCAGAGTCTCAGATGGTAGCTTTCTAGATTCATACTGTCAGGAAGCTGAAGTGAGTATTTAAGACATGGATCAAGCAACATTCCAAGTTTCTTTTCCTTTTTGTTTCAAAGAAAAACATTTTAAAAAGGCACAACTATAAACTATCCCAATGCAAAAAAAAAGACAGGAAGAATAGTAAGAGGCCAAAATACGGCTCCATCAGGAGCTCTAGAATGACCTGAAAATCAAAAAGGAATCCTACAAAAAGTGGAAACCTGGACAAATTACTAAGGAGTACAAAAGAGCAGCACGAGCATGTAGGGACAAAATCAGAAAGGCTAGGGCACAAAATGAGTTACACCTAGCAAGGGCTGTCAAAGGCAATAAGAAGAAGTTCTATAAGTACATTAGGAGCAGGAGAAAGACAAGAAGTACTGTAATTTCCTCTACTTAGCAGGGAAGGAATGCTAATAACATCAAGAAGGCTGAGTGTTTAATGCCCATTTTGCTTCAATCTTTACTACAAAGGTGGTGACCAGATACTCAACACAATTAATATTAACAACTAGGGGGAAGGAACGCAAACCAAAATAGGGAAAGAACAAGTTAAAGAATATTTAGATAAGTTAGATATATTCAGGTCAGCGGGGCCTGATGGAATTCATCCTAGGGTATCTAAGGAACTAACTGAACCAATCTTGGAACCGTTAGCAACTACCTTGGAGAATTTATTAAGGATGGATGAGTTCCCAAAGGACTAAAAAGGGCAAATATAGTACCTATCTTTAAAAAGGAGACCTGGGTAATTATAGGCCAGTCAGCCTAACATTGGTACCTGGAAAGATACTGGTACAAATGATTAAACAATCAGTTTGTAAGCATTTAGAGAATAATAGGAGTATAAGGAATAGCCAAAATAGATTTGTCAAGAACAAATCATGCCACACTAACTTAATTTGCTTTTTTGACAGGGTTGGTGGCCTAGTGGATGGGGGAAGCAGTAGAGGTGATATATCTTGATTTTAGTAAGGCTTTCAACAGAGTCACTCAACATTCTCATAAGTAAACTAGGGAAATGGGGCCCAGATTAAATGACTATAAGGTGGGTGCAAAACCGATTGAAAGACCATACTCAAAGAGTAGTTGTCAGTGGTTCAGTATCAAACAGGGAGGGCAAATCTAGTGGGGTGTGGCAGGGTCAGCACTGGGTCTCATACTATTCAATATTTTCATTAGTGACTTAGATCAGGGGTGGTAAATGCCCTCAATAAGGCTTCTTTAAAATACAGCAGCTCTCCTGGACTCCTTGCCCCCTCATATTAGCCTCGCAGGGGATCCTACCCATCAGTTCCCAAAGGGAGTCTAAGTCTGCTTTTCTGAAGTCCAGGGTCCTATGATTTAGATGAGATATTAGGAAAAGCTTTCGAACTAGAAAGGTAATTAAGCTCTGGAATCAGCTACCAAGAGAGGCTGTGGAATCATCATCACTGTAGGTTTTAAGAACAGGTTGGAAAACACCTGTCAGGGATGGTCTCGGTTTCCTGCCCCAGTGCATGGGGCTGGACTTGATGACCTCTTGAGGTCCCTTACAGCCCTACATTACTATGATCCTATGATTTAACACCTCTGCACCGGGTGGCTCAAGAGTTAGTTCAACTATCAAAGCCTTTTACCCACTTATGGATTTAGCTCAGAGGACTAACCTAGCAATTGTGACTGGGCATGAACCAAATGATCCAAAAAAGACTCTCTCAGCCTGATCTATGATTTATAAAGGAATTTTTTTTTATTTTGAAAGTGAGGAGTTGGATGACGTGGATCATTTAGGTTTATAAATAACAGAAGTCTCTGGATTTTAAGAAACGCTTTGCCTTTAAACAAATGGAATTAAGATCCTAGCTCCATTTAACCATGTTAGTGATAGGGCTGTGTTGTGTAGAAAATATTGATATAAACTTAAAAAAGCTCAAGTAACCTGGTCTGGAAAAACTGAGGTATGAATAAAATCCACAGGTTCCCCGAACTCACCCAGTCTCTACCTTCCCACAGCAGCAGCGAGACACAGATGAATAAAGATAGCGTGCAAAGGTTCAAAGTGAGATATTAGAAACAGCTTTCAAGACAAAGCATCCTCTGAAGGGATTTTCTTTAACTGATTTAATGAGCCCTGTCACATAAGGGTTCTAAGCTGTGATGGTTCCATACTAATCAGATGAATACTGACATGGCAGCTAGTAAGATCCAGTGAAGCATATTCAAAATTCCATATGCCAGTGATGGCACTATGACTAATTATTTATAAAGTGATAGTACTATTGAACCCCCATTTCTGGATAGAACCCCATCTCTGTTGGAAAGCTGATGTACCTAGACTGTAAAGCTTCTATTACTGTTGCTGAAAAAATCACTGACCTAAAAATTCTTTCCTCTCAATTTCCAAGCTCATTAGTGTCTGCTTGAGGATACAGATGGAAAAATTCCCCAAGTGAAAATTTCATTTCCCACCAATCCACTAATTCTGAGAAAATATCCAGTCCATTAGAATCTGTCATCTGGTGCTGTTGGACTTCATTATTTATTTCAGTAAGTGAGCTATGTGAAGAAAGCTACAGAACATTTCTCAATTTAAGGTGACTGATGATGCTCAATTGAAGTTGATTCTGAAGCCCACAAAGGAAGGTTGCTGTTAAATGTTGTGATTAATAGGCCTGCCCTGCACTGCAGTAATATTTTAAGCTGGAACACTCACTCTCCTGGAAGTGGATTGAGACAATCTGCTTGAGCACTGTACATCCCAAGAGAGTACATTGTTAAGATTAATGAAAAGTGCATCTCTGGCTGGAGACAAGTCCTGGTTGTTACCACATAGAGGGACATTATCTTCACACCCACTTGAATGTATTTTGCTTATATCTGGGCTGCTGAATATTAGACGTGGCATGATATTACTGGAACTGCAGTGATTCCAAGCAGATTTACAGGCTACTTCATAGTATTATTGTTTCATCTCTCTTGAACTACTACCAGGGCCGGCTTTTCTGCCACCCCAAGCGGAAAAAAAAAAAAAAAAAAAAAAAGACGACGAGCAGCGGCACTTCAGCGGCAGCTAAATCACACCGCTTCTTCGGCGGCGGGTCCTCCCTCTCTTCCTCTTCGGCGGCAATTTGGTGGCAGCTCAAAGAGGAAGAGAGGGAATGAGGGACCCGCCGCTGAATTGCCAAAGACCCAGACGTGCTGCCCCGATACTGGGACGGAATGCTGCCCTTTGAATTGGCCGCCCCAAGCACCTGCTTCCTACGCTGGTGCCTGGAGCCGGCCCTGACTACTACAGATTACAGGAGGACTTTACGATTTAAAGTTTGTGTCAGTCATGATTATTAGAATCACTTAAAGCAGCAGTTCGTAACTGGGGGCTGTGAATAGGTTTCAGGGGGTCCGCCAAGCAGGGATGGTGTCAGACTCGCGATGACCCAGGGCTAAAGCCCTGGAGCCCCATGGGGCCGGAGTCCAGGAGTTCCACTGACCCATGGAGGCTGAAGCCTCACCTCCCTGCCACCTGGGACTGAAGCCAAAACCTGAGCAACTGAGCTTTGCAGGGGCCTCTGTGGCGCAGACTCCCCAGTGACATCAGGCCCCGGGCAATTGCCCTGTTTGCTACACCCTAGCACTGACCCTGGCTTTTATATGCAGAAAAACAGTTTTTGTAGCACAGGTGGGCCATGGAGTTTTTATAGCATGTTGTGTGCGGGGCCTCAGAAAGAAAAAGGTTGAGAACCCCTCACTTAAAGCATATGTTCTTTATTAAGAGCCAGCATCATTTATCTCAAGTTCTACATTACTCTGTGTGTGTGTCATCAAGGCTAGGAAAACACAAAAATGTATAGCTGCTAAGGATTGAGGTTCATTGTTAAGATTCTGGAGCTATTCAGGAATTCATATTGGAAAATTAGGAATTCTCTCATCTCACCAAAAGTGCATGTTTCAAAAATGTACATGTGCTGCAGTCTGCTAGAACTGAAAAATATGTGAATAAGACCATTTTATGAATGTGTTCATTTTTGCCTGTTACAGCCTTAATATTTTTTCAATGCTGTGGCTGTTCAGGAACTTCAGAACTCAGTCTGGATTCAGATGTAAATTTGCAAATTGTTGCACAGTCCTTTTACTAGAGGAGAACTAAACAGTTTATAGCAAAAAATAGGAGGCAGCAAGGGAGATCACAAAAATAGAGAAGGCTGTTCTGAATTAACTGTCTCCCTGAAGGATTTTTGTTCCTTCCAGATGTTTAGAACTAAGTTTTTTCTGCTGGGTACTTGCTCTAGGCTTTCCTCAGAGGCAGAGACAAAGTTTTAAATGTTTTTCCAACCATACTGCAATAGCATATAAATACTGAAATATACGTGTATACAAAGAGTGGGAAATTCTCTAGCAGGAAATCTTAAAATATTTTATGAAACTTTGATACCAATGAATTTACAAGAAGACTTTTCAAAAAGATAAGCAGGATTGGAATGGAGGATTTGGGGGACAAGGGAGGAGGGCTCCTGGGATAGAAAGCTCTTAATTCCACCTTATTCTCCTGCTACAGCCCCCATCATATGTTGCAGAAGGTGGTCTTGCAGGAACAGTTTCTTTGTATTGTTACAGGAGGAAAGAGGCAGATGTCTACTATGCTTCAGCGGTCAAACGTTTTAAATTTACTTGGAAGCAAGGCCTTAGTTTGGACAACTTGATTTAGCAGCTCCAGTCAAGCCCAGTGTATAGAAGAATGGAAGATCCTACAAGAAATTCTAATCTATATTGAAGTTTATTTCCTGTGGAAGTGGAAGTAAGAGGAAAACTAGGTCTGTGATGGGTCAAGATAATGCACCTGTAAAATTTTGTTAGGACCATAACATTATGATATCCCCCAAACTACCCCTTCAAAAAGGATCTTCTCCCAATTGTGATGTAAAGCTTGTGGTGGAAGGAGGAAAGCATATTTGAGCAGGTAAATATTGGAGTATATGTAAATTAGGAAATATTATTACACACATTTTAACCATGCAAGCATGTTTTTGAGACAACTAGATAAGTAGGTCCTCCCTGATTCACAATTAGATTTTATTTGTGCCATTTGTAAAATACAGATAATCTCTTGTGAACATACACTGACTGCACTGGTGAAACAGAAACAAAGGTACTTTGCCCTATTACTTCTCACTCATTTAATCAAAGAACTCTGGGAAAGAGAGATTCTAGAAGAAAATCTACTTGCACTGAACTGTCAGGGTAGGCCACTGTGCATATTTATTTATTTATTTATTTAAAGAAAATCTAACTTTTGAATTTGCCGTCACTGCTTATTTTAGTTAGGTTAAAAACAGTTGGGTAAAAAGCCATTTGACTCTATATTAGTTTTCACTTTAACCAAAATTTACAGAATTACATCTCTGCTTACTAATAAACTGAATGCTCAGCTTGCAAGACCTTACATAATATACAGTGGTCTAGTCACATCTGTTTCTAGCCACTGGGAAAACTAAACTTTAAGCAGGATGGGTTCAAAAAAGCAAGAGCCATTCATCCTATTCATTTTTCAATTTAAAATGCTTTGAGGTAACTCAGTGCTTCGATTTGCAGAAATGCACATTAAACAGTCTATTCAGAACACAAAGAAATGCCTGGCCATTGGCTTCACATCAGTATTTCTACACTAGCCCATCTCACATCTCTTCTAGATGAAAAAGTAGTACTAACCGTGCATGAAATAATGGGTTTGTTCTTCCTCCAGTGTATGCAGTAGACCAGGGGTCGGCAACGTTTGGCACGTGGCTTGCCAGGGTAGCTTACCCTGGCGAGCCGCGTGCCAAACATTGCCGACCCCTGCAGTAGACTACCCACAGTTAAAATTCTTTAACTAAAATTTAAGATTATGCACATTTAAGGAAAATATGGCTGCTTGTATGGATCAGTATTTCAATAAAAAGGCTGAAGACATCCCCATGAACATCCTATTAAATTTACTTACCTGCTTCGTCATTTGCCAAACACAATCAAGGAACTGAAGGAAAATGGGAGACCTGTCTGCATCAGCATGGTCATCATCTCCATGGCCTACTCGCTGAAAAACAGATGCTTTCATTTCAGTCAAGTCCATTTAAAGCAGTAACCAATAACGCAAGTTCTGCAAATATCTTAGGCAGGTTCTTAAAGGATTGTGATCAGCATACCTTTTTCAAGCTAAACTCCACCCTTCCTATAACTAAAACCCCCCACCAGAATTGATTCACAAATATAGTCGTATAGACTGGCAGAATAGGAAGGCACCCAGTCCACAAAATTCACACATTTTCCAATGGTCTGAGAGATATTAAACTTATTTTTAAAGTGGACATCACACTAAACCCGCAAATGCACTTCTTGATTCAAAGACTCAACATAAGGACATCTGCTTCTTCCTGCATAAGAGGAAAGAATAAATAGTTCAGAACTGCAGGAGATACATCCTCCACTTCATTTCCACAGAGGAATGGATTTAGGGAATCTGGCGTATTATTATGCTGAATCAACTATGCAGAAACTATGACTATTCCATACCCACTCGCCATAACCAAATGTTACTACAGCTACATCTCCAGTTCAGAAGGCCACATACAGCACCACAATCGTTTAATATTCCAGCTCAAGTTATTTTTTTCCCTTTCTTTAAACACTGTGGCTGTGAGGTGGGATGATGACTTCAGTGATTTTTACCTACATGATAGCCATAACTTTTTCCTTTTCATTTTCCCCAAGTAAGATCTGTTCATGTAAGTTTTTCACCATGCTCTGCAATCCTCCCCTCCTCCAGAAATGTCTCGATATTTGTCTTGTGCTATTGGCTTCAAACTCTGTTCCTCTTGTAAACTTTATATTAGAAAATTGTTGTGTATTAATATTTCACACACGGCATTTTCACATCAACAGAACACTAAATCGGTCATATTTCTCTTTCTTCACATACTGCAAGAACATTATTCTAAATGTTGCAAAATACAGGGACAAGCTACCTGACCCAAAAAAAAAAAGAGCTTTGAAGGAGATAAATTTTTTATTAATTCTTTCAACTTACCATTGCAAACCTATGTCCAAAACTTATCCATTCTTTTTCTATAAGAGCTTCAAATCCTTTGATAGTCCTGTAATAGCTGTCCAACATGAGCATGGCTAAAGAGGTGAGCTGGGCTGTACGATCCCAGCCATCACTGCAGTGTACAACAACTGATGTTTTACCAGATTCAATTTTATCAGCAATTCTTACTGCTCCAGCAAGAAGCATCTTTTAAAAAAAAAGAAAGTAGCATGTTAAAACGTCACATCAAGCCAACACTTTGTAGTAAAGACTTGTTATTCTATTCAGTCCTAGAATGTTATATTTTAAAATTAGAATTCAAACCGGATTGTGTGTCCAAAAATACTCTAAATTAACATTAGAATCTCCTGAAAATCTGTTCATAAAAGAAAACATTCAGATATACTGTAGACTATTCAGTAGAAACGTTACTCAAGACTACAGAATTAGATCAATCCTTTTAATAAATTCAGTTATCTTGCAAACTATTATCATCTTTCTTCCTCAGCATTCAGTTTTCAACCAGTAAGTACAGCTAATCAAACCTATAGCAGGTTATTGGGCAGCCCAGACAAGAAAAGGGATGTGCTTGCTTGCTGATCCCTTGCCCTGATTTGTTGGTGCATGGAGTAGACATGATGTTCACATAGGAAACAGGCCTTTATTTCTACTAGTAATAAGTTGGTTCAGAAGTCAGAGTGGCACAAGACGGTAGCAACTCATGTGAGCATTACACTTATTTTTTTCCAATGAAAGTCCTTCTATTGATTTCCTCAGTCACGTTTGGTGGCTCTTCAATTGTTTAACTTGGAGTATTCTCTCCGGCACAGATTTGTGTCCACCACGTGATTCCTGAAAGCACTGACAACTATGTAAGAAACAGCTAGAACTAGGGCGGTTGGAAGGGCTCCGGACTTTGGATTCGGACATCAGCAAAGCCAACTCTGACATCAGTAAAGGCAATCTAATGAGACATTTGACATCTGTTTCTTCCAAGGCATGCAAAGACACTTCCAAAGCTGGAAAGCCTGCATCCACTGGAGCAACTGTGCATTCACAGGACACAGTCTTGAAAGCCATTCAGGCTTCCTAGACAAAGCTACATAGATTTTGTTCTTTTATGATTAAACTGAAGGATGCAACTACTGCAGATCAATGTTAAAGCTTGTGTTAGTAAATTGAAAGGCTTGCAATTTGAGCTGGTTAGTCCTAAAGCTTTCACATGTTTATTAAGTCACAGACAATGCATTACTGCACTGAAAAATTATAAATATTACAAAAGGTCATCTTATGTTGTTGGATCTTTGAAAAGGAATGGAAAAAAGACAATTCACGTGACATAAGGATAGCAGCACTCTATGTCCTAGAAAGATCACTGAGAGTGGTACTCATGCCAGCCAAGCATTACTGCAGAAAACACAGCTGGGGAAAGGGTAGACGCAGGCAGTGAACAGAAAATGGGAGAAGGAACAAAAGCTAGGTATTAGTTTAGCAACACCTTGTAGAATGAGGTGGGGCATTTTGTTCCACTTTGGACAAATGATTCATTTGTAAAAATTTTAAAGAAACTAAAAATTATTTTTTCCATAAAATACTTTTTATGTTAACTTCTCTTTCAGTATTTGTAACTTACCTATCATTGTGGTAGCTGAACACCACAAAGGGCTGGTCTACGCTGAAAACTTACATTGGCATAGCTAGGTCTCTCAGGGGTATGAAAAAGCCACATCCCTAAGAGAGAGAGTTGTGCCGATCTAACCCCCAGTGTAAACAGTGCTAGGTCGACTGAAGAATTCTTCCACTGACCTAGCTACTGCCTCTCGGGGAGGTGGATTAACTTCGCTTGCTATAGTGAGTCCACGTCTACCCTACAAACTTACACCGGTATAGCTACATCACTGAAAAATCCACACCCCTGAGCAAGGTAGCTATACCGACCGAACTCACAGTGTAGACAACACTGTTGAAGGGGGAGCTTTTCCTGTTGACATAGCTACCACCTCTCCTATCAGCGTAGTAGCATCTTCACTAAAGCTCTACAGCGGTGCAGCTGCACCGATATAGCTTCACCACTACATGTACAGATGAGCCCTTAGTGTCTACACTGAACTGCTGAAGCTGTGCCACCGGAGCATTTCAAGTGTAGACATAACCAAAGTCTCTTACAATTAAGCTGCAGTTAGAGTCAGCACCAAATAAGTTGAAAAATTGTGAGCATCCTCCACAGGCTGTATTCAGACAGAATTTTTTTTAAATCGAGCTAAACATATGTCAACCGCTACCATCTTCTTCAGTCTGAAAATTCTCAGGGTACTATTCCAAACTTAACTATGAAATTGAGATTTCAGGGTCCAATCCTACCATCCTATTCAAGCAGAGAGCTCCCACTGACGTGAATGGGAGTGAGATGTGATTATCTGGTCCACAGCAAGTTTTTTTTTTTTTAAATGAACAATCAAACTTAAGCACCAAATTCATAAATTTGGATGGAAAAAGGCTTTTGGATTGTGAATATTTAATAGTTTGATAGGAATGGAAGATTTTAAACTAAATAAGAAAGTTAAGTTCTTCCCAAAATAGCAAATATTTATTTTACATTTTTGCTCCCTCTGCTGGCTTTTCTGTAGCAGTTAAGCTGAATTACCAGAGCTAAGATTATAAGAATAATTTTGTGCACAACCCAAAGACGCTTTGCATGAGTCACATTTGATTTGAAGTTGTATAAAGCAAATTCCACATTAAATGCCATTCCATCAATATTTACCACCAAAAAGAAGGGAAAATAGTAGAGAAATCATCCATTCTAAAGCTTCTAAGAGGTTAATAAAACACTTAGTAAAATTAAACATGATATGGATTGACTTATTTTAATGCAGTGTTAAATAATAAAAGGAGACTGTAATCCATACGGTAACAGGGACCAATCCATCTTCCATTGAAGTCAGGCCCACTGAAATATGCATGTCCACAAATGCTTAATTAATGGCATAGAAGGATGAGGAGGGCTGCTGTGTTTAAACATGAGGTCCCTCTGGTAGTTGTCCAAGTGGAATTTGAATTTCCCACGGCAGTTTTCCAAAAAGCAGGGATAATCCTGGTATCCTGGCCAACATTCACACACTCAAGAAAACTAAGTGCTGTCCAGAACTGAATGTGATCCTACACTATCAAGTATTTAACTGATTACTTCCAATACCTACAGTATGAAATACACAATATAGCATAAATTTATATTCTATCTAATCTGAAATATTGTGTTCTAAATAAAACTTGTAAAAAGGGTTACTTTTTAGGATTATCCTGACCAAAGACATGATAAACAGAGAAAGGATCTCTAGTGCGGTCTATTGAAATTCAAGCAAATACATTGCTTTAAAAGCAAAAAGCATGCAATGTCTTTAACATCTATAGTCTCTTACCCTTATGTATTCCAACCAGTGTGTTGAATCTACATTGGACAACCACCGGGCCTCATCAATCGCAGGATAAACTATCTCTTTCAGCTTCCGCAATGATTCTCTCATCACATGTATGTTATGTATTTCCAGAAAGACCAGCTCAGCATTTGGGTAGGCACTTTCACTTTCATATCCTCCACCTTTTGCCTGTCATTTAAAATTTTAGAGAGTTTCTGATAAGGTCCTGAGGGGTATTTTTGCTTTCTAGAGAGTTTTAGAGGCGGTTATTTTAGAACAAATGAAAACACATTTTAAGAAAAATAAAAACTGATGTTTAACTACTCCCAGAAGCTGGAAGTGGATGATAGGGGATGGATCACTTGATGACTGCCTGTTCTGTTCATTCCCTCTGAAGCACCTGGTTAAGGTTAATTTGGACTACTACGTTCCTTCCCCTACCCCTATTCATTTTTCAGTACACTATTTCAGTGCACAATTACTTCAGTAATTGGTGCCATATACATAAGAAATAGCTCTGGGGACTCCACGTACGCTTTTCCCCCACTCCTCCCACCACAATCATTACCAGTACATCTCTACTTCCTACAGCAGGGGTCGGCAACGTTTGGCATGCGGCTCGCCAGGGTAAGCACCCTGACGGGCTGGGCCAGTTTATTTACCTGCTGACACGGCAGGTTCGGCCAATCGCGGCCCCCACTGGCTGCGGTTTGCCGTCCTGGCCCAATGGGGGTGGCAGGAAGCCGTGGCCAGCACGTCGCTCGCCCGCGCCGCTTCTCGCCGCCCCCATTGGCCCGGGATGGCGAACCGCGGCCAGTGGGGGCCGCGATCGGCCGAACCTGCCGCGTCAGCAGATAAATAAACTGGCCCAGCCCGTCAGGGTGCTTACCCTGGCGAGTCGCATGCCAAACGTTGCCGACCCCCGTCCTACAGCTTTCTTCTATTTACAAAACTGACTCAAACTGTAATAAACTCAATTGGTCCACGTCCAGGCCATTGCACTACTTATTTAATAAGTTACTATCTCGGCAGAAGGATTTTCTTACAATACAGGACAAGGAGCTAGGAACCGATAAGTTCAAATCTTGGCTCTGACAACACTTGTGACTACAATCAAGTCAATCTCTCTGCCTCAGTCTCCACCCAACTTTAAACTGGAGAGAGCAGTAACTCACAGGGCTGTTGCAAGAATTAGTTAACGCTGAGAGAATGCTTTGATACTATCTAAGTGCTTACACATAGATTACTTTATTATGAGAAGTGAACTTTTATGGAAAATATAAGAATAAAGTTTATTTCTCAGTACATGGGCAAAGTAATCTCCATTTTAACAATGACGACAACCTACCTTGTTTGTATCAGCCACACTGTTTTGTCTGGCATCAAAGATGATAAGTTTGTGCGACTGAGCATTGGCATCCATTATTGTTTGTAAGTATTTTTCATCTTCTTTGCAACGTTTGTCATTCGGGCCTATCAGTGGCTGGCTGCAGCGCGTTATAGTTGCCTGGCTCTCGGGGTGAATCCAAGATAACACCTGCGTTTAAAAAAAGTTAGTTTCCGGATAGTGCACCAACATCAAACTGACATTCCTTAGGGCAATTGGTCAGTCATAATAACCCATAGTACAACATCCCAGTGGGAGAGAGAATGTAAATTTCAGTTAGAATAATTCATACCCCATACATTCAAAAGTGAGGTGATGAGAAAATAGCAGATTAATACCATGCTGCGAAAGACATGGTATCACTGTTCCCAAATTTAGTTAGGTTGAACCGTGAAGTAGTTCTAAACACTATGACTTTATTCTCCGTAGCATTCAGAAACAGCCTTAAATTTTACTTTTGACATACTTTCTATGGGCTTAAATACAGTAAGAGGGTTTTCTGGTGGGGAGAATGGGCAGCTACTTCCATATGGAGGTCTATGCAGTCAAGCATGAACATATCTCGCTCCTTCCTGCCCCAGGCAGGCACTACTGCAAGATAACTCATACCTTACGGACATCACATTAAAATTCCTCACTTTCTTTCTCCCTCCTGGGGTTGTCATTTCTTCTCTTAAGTTTACCTTCCCCATGCATAATATGGCTTCATTTACAGCCCTTTATATGAGCATCTGAGTAGGATAATCTCTACCAAGAACACTCTGCCATTCTCAGGAAGCCCACGATGTGGAGTCAGAGTGATACAACACACATTCCACCTCACCCCCAAACCTCATTCACCATGGGAGCAAGGGGGAGCACAACCTGACACTTTCAGTTCCCCACTAGTGTCGGACGCTATCTTTGAACTAAAGTTCATTTCAGAGATGTAAGCCGCTTGGCAATTACACTAACCCTGCAATAACTATCTTCATTAATTTTTTAAAAATTTCCTCCAGCTCCAAAACCAGTAACTGTATTTCTGTACATTTTATACTCTCTCTCTTGTAGACGGGAGCAGGATAGCGGTCTCAGAAGCCTTTAAAAACCCTAAAGGCATTTCGAATCATCTCTTATAAGATGCATTACAAATATATTTCTTCTTCTTCAGGAAGTTACATTACAAATACAGAGAGAATTCATAATGAATTCTAGAAGCCTTACTTACTGGAATTCTGCCTTTTGCTCTAAATGCTGCCACTTTTGAGAGGTCATCATCCTTCACGCTGGTTGGCACAACGAAGATAGTAGGATATGTATCACAAAGTTCATAGGTGCTGTTAATTTTGGATATTTTCCAACTCTCATTGGGCAAACCCTGTGCAGAGACAAAACATTTATCCAATATTTTAAAAAAGTTAGATCTTTACATGTGTGTGTTGTATAGTGACTCCAAAAAAGAATGATCCATTACATGTTTTTAAAAAACCATACCCACATTGTTCTGCCCAGTGTTTCAAAGGTTATGTGAGCAGAAGCATTTCTCAATATTTTGGTTAAAGATATGGGGTAGTATGAAGCCCCAAAGCCTATAGATAATTTAAAAAACAACAGTAATTTGGATGGGTTTGCACTAAAGTAAAAAATGGGCCTATAGTGAATAGAAAGAAATTATTTTACACCAGGAAATTGATGGATTAAGGAGACCAAATTAAAATTATTCCTCTGTGTAACTGCTGTTCATATTTGTTTTTAAATGAGAATATTACTTTTTCAGAACTGGTGCTTAAAATTAAGTCTCCAAATATGGATTTAGGTCCCTATATAAACGCCAAGAGACTTCCTCCAATACTGAGCACCTATAATCCCAATTGATTTCAATGGGACTTGTGGGGGCCTAACAGTACTGAAAATCAGGTGACTTGCCTTTAACTGTCTAGATATGGATTTAAGAGAGTAAGTTTAGGTATTCAGGTTTGCAAATTGTCTGTGAACATTTCTAAAAAAAGGTAAATTAGATTCAGAAGACTATCAAAATAAAATAAAAAGGTGATTACTTGTATAACCTACCTGCCGCTTATATTCTGCCATTGGATCATAAACTTTCCAGCCATTAACAGGAAATTTTTCTTTATAGCTGAATGCAAAAAGTGGCTGAAAGCAACAACGTAAAAAAACAAATTACTATGTATTATTTAGCCATTTAGTAAACGAGAATTCCTGTAAACATGGTGAGCTCTGAAAACGAAAGCCAGAAAAGCCGATTCAAGTAGTTTCCAAAAGACAAAATCTTATATCCAACATTTGTTTTACAGTAGTGCCGAGAGACCCCAGTCAAGACTGGCCTTCGCTGTGCTAGTGATTGTTCAAACACAAAAGAAGAGACAGTTCCTTCCCCGAAGAGATTGTGTGTCTTGTCAATTCAGATAGCAAAGGAAACAGAAAGGTAAAATGACTAGCCCATGGTTACACTAGTCAGCAGTAAGGCCATGAATAGAATTCAAGCCCCATTACTCTCAGTCCAGTACCCTACCCATTGGATGATATTGAAATTGTCCACTATTGAATACTAATATGATACTGAAATTGTACAGTTAAAGCTAACAAGGCAACTATTGTTGAGTTATCTGGACAGTGAATTCAGGAAAGTACTTTAGCCTGGATGCACAAGAGGAGTTAGGCATTGTGACACTGAGCATCACAGCGCCAAACATTTAGGCCCCTAGAAAATCGCTGCAATTCACAAAGCCTGAGTTAGGCACCTAGGCTTCCTATACAATGAATGAGGAGAGAGATGCTCCTGAAAATATGTCTGCAATAAAAGATCCACAACATAAAGCACGGCTGGCCCGTGTCTGCTGACTTGGGCTCATGGGGTTTGGGCTGTGGAGATAAAAATTGCAGTGTCGACATTCAGGCTTGGCCTGGAGCCCAGATTCTGAAACCCTGTGAGGGGAGTGGGTTTCAGAGCCTGGGCTCCAGCCCGAGTGTCTACACTGACATTTTTAGCCCTACAGCCCAAGCCTGTGAGCCCAAGTCAGGCTCTGAAACTCGATGCATGGGTTGTTTTTTTTATTGCCATGTAAACATACTTTTAGCTTGCAATTCACAAAAGCCAGTCCAGTAGGCAAGTAGCTATCTAAGCTAGCCAATGGGAGATGCCAAGCAGAGGTTGTGTCCCCCTCTCACAGTGATACGCGCCTAAGTCCAGGCAGTAGGGAAGCACTTATCTCTGCTAGCAAGTCACAGCCAGGAATTCTCTTCAGAGTTTGCAAGAAGCCCTGGAGGTGGGAGGATGGGGACAGCTGGGCTATGGGATATTCTGATGTGGGGCTCCTTCAGTCTCTCCTGTTGAAGCTGTTCCACTCTGGATAAATAATTGAAGAGTCACTGGAGCAGTAGGACTGGATCCTGGATCTCCCACCTCTTGGGTCTTCCACCAAGCTATGGAGTCACTCATCTTGTATGCACTCTCTTTCTCTGGCCATAATGATTCATTATTTATCCAGAGTTAAACAGGAGAGACTGAGAACAACCCACAGCCCAATGGTTAGAGCACTGCCCTGAGAAGTTGGCAGATCCCTGTTCAAATCCCTTTTCCCATTCAGACAGAGTGGGGACTTGAACCGAGAGTCTCCCACATCCCAAGTAATCACTGGGCTAAAAGTTATGAGGGAGTTCCCATAACTCCCCAACCCCCAGTTGTTTTGTCTGAACTCAGCTAAGGAGCCCAATCAGGTAGACGTCCTCACAGGGTACCTACCTAGGTGGCCGAACAACTATCTTCCCCAATTTGTGAATGTCTGAGGTTCAGGCGAGAGATAAGCCACCAGCTGTCCAGAGGGAGGCAGCAGTGTGCATGCCCAGAGGCAGAAACCTAGGTGCCTAGGGACTGAATGAGATTAGGCAACTACAGAGTTCAGGGGGAGTTTTGTGCATCACAGTGGTCCCCAAACTGGGTCTTAGGCACCTAACTCCTTTATCCTTCATTCTGAAATTCCCCAATTATCTGTTACAGACAAACGCTTATAAAAGTCAACAAACCCTGACCTTCATAAGCACTAACAGGCACAATTAACAATGTCAGGGCTATGTATGTGCAACACAAAACAAATCTCTTTGGAATAAAAGATGCCTTCTTCCATACAAAATGGAGGGCCTTACCCTGAAACCAATAAAGTCACTGTTTTCATTGGTAGCAGCACCTGGCTCTCAGTTCTGTAAATTACTGAAATAAATAAGTCAAGCCAGAGTAATCTGAATGCTCCATGATATCTAGAATCAACAATTTAATATATTTGTTATGCAGTATTTTCTTATTTCCCTACACTTCCAAAAAGAAGACAGAGGCAGGCAGACCTCTCCTCATTTTAGTACTTACCAGCCCATTAGAAAGAGGAAATGCTTGCGTTACGAGGTTTTCAAATATTTCCAGTCTGCTCTGTTCTTCCTGTTTATAGGCAAGCCGCAAGTTTCTCATATCCTGTCAGAAAATAAGCCAAACTCTCTTACACGTTGATAAATTAAAAAAAATAGAAGCAGTTACAAAGCTGACTGAAACCAAGCACTGGCTACTGACATTAAAGCAAATCACATTTTCTAACCCTCATAGTCATTAACAAAATTCTGTTCTAAAATGAGACTATTGGGAGCACCAGGATGCTTTAATATGCTACTGAAGTAGGCATTATACCCTAGAATTCACCAATGGGGTGAAACATTTCTTGCAAGTTTACCATCCAAATTACAACCAAACCCAGCATGCTTATGGGATCAGATAGGACAACAGCGCAAGGCATTGTGGTTGCAGGTTCCCCTCAAGACAAAAAAGAAATTAACGCAATTAAACAGTAATAGATAGGCATCCACTACATTTCCTAGGAATTCATTCTGTACCTTGCAAACAATTTCTATACCACAGGAGTTGTCTCCATGGCTCTGCACTCCAATCTTTTCAACTCTACTTATTACTCCAAGGGGAACATCAAGAACAAAATGTGGATCCTGAAAATTGGATAAAAAAAAAAAGATGAAACATTTTGTAATTGCAGTGGGAAATATATGTAACCTAGTACAATTCATGTCAAATTGTGTGTTGTACTAGTCTTTTATAGTTCCTTTTGAATTGATTGCTGTGGAACTTTACATTTAATTTAAACTAAGTTTGTCACCTTCTGAAAATCTACTTCAGCAAAGAAGAGATTCTAGCTGGAAGAAATATGCAAATAGATCTTAAAGTCTCACCCTCTCAACATTTTTGAAATACATTTTGAAGTCTGTCACTGTCAGTGTACCGCTGACTGCTCCCATAAATGGACAGATATACATAACATCTTTAGCTGGAAAAAGACACAAATAAAAGTTCCATTTTATTATTGTAGTTATTTGTGGTATAAGAAACTCTTTATAGAAAAACAAAAATGTTATACAAGAAACCTCCTATAGTTCCAACTTACTAGAGATCTTTGAGTCTTCTATATGAAATTATTTCAAAACCACTATAACTGACCTGCTACTCTCAATTTTGAGTTGAAAGAAAAAATCCTCTGCATTTTTAAAAAGGTACTTTACAAAGAGAATGATCAAATTCTTCGGTTCTAAGCAATATGTGCTAAATCCCCACCATAAACCAGCCTAAGAGAATGGTGAAGTGACATCAAGCATTGCTCCATACTATACAGAATGGAGCTATGCTATACAGAATGTTTTTGTGGGGAGTCCATGAAATGGCATACAGATATTTTATGTAACAAGATAAACAGTCTTTTGTCTTTCTCCAAAGTTGCCAGTTTGTGGTGTCTTATATTTAAGAAAACCAGAGTGGCTTGGAATAATAGCTATTTGTCCTGTAACCATCCATATGTGAGTTCTGTCCACATTTCATCTACTTAAAATCAGAATTCGAGGAGCCCCAAAGTCTTCATACTGCAGAAATACCAGGCTGCCCCATATTTATCTCCCTTTTTCTGATAATCACAACAGTGAACAGCATTCTCTGCTCTTGTTGCACCTTACATTAGTCAGATGGGAAGGCTCATGTGGCAAGCAACAGTCATCCTGAAACTAAAGCTCAAGTGAGCTGCTCAAGTAATATGTCTGAGCAAAGATTATGTCCAAATCTGGGTTTTGCATACCTTTTAAAAAATAATTTCTACATTTCAGTAGCATAAATAGTTTCCATTTACTGGTTTCACATAACTGTACTACTTGTATCAAACAAAACACCCCAAGATCAAACTATGTTGCTTCACAAAAACTAAACCTAAGGCCTTCTATTTTGCACATACTTAAACAGAGTGGGTTCATATACAATTATCAGATTTCCACAGATAATTTCAGGTTTTGGGAGCAGTTTGAAAAATCCGTCATTAAGACTGTATCCCAGGGGTCGGCAACGTTCAGCACGCGGCTCGCCAGGGTAAGCACCCTGGCGGGCCGGGCCAGTTTTATTTACCTGCTGACGCGGCAGGTTCGGCCGATCGCAGCCCCCACTGGGAATGAATTTATGATCTATGGGGACATTTTGAGCGCCCATGCATCGCCCCCCCCACCTTGCTAATTTGTCTATGTCGATCAGCTGTTTGTTGAAATAAAATACCACACAGATCTGTTTGCACTATGTTGAACTGATTTACTTACAGCATAGCATTAGGATTTGAATAAGTAAGAAAATCCACAGCAAATTTGATCATTCAAGATAGAATTATAAAATATAAATAGTAAGAACAAAACCAACATGGAAACCATTTGATTTTATCTTTATTCATAAAGTAATGATTTAATACTATAAACTCAAAACTGCACATACCAATCGCTTTGATTGATTCTCCAGGAAAAATTGGCGCCTCTTCCATCTGTGCCAGCTTGTTCCCATCCCTCAGTGCCTGGCAGAAATCCAAAACCATGAGTAAATCTCACATTCCATCTGCACACCATCGATACATTTTGCTGCAAAGTGCTTTTGCTAAGAGGTTATGGGAGCATGAGAATGTGTATCCTTTTTCCAAAGCACAACTGTGTTAAACAATGCTGCATTAGAAAACAGGGCTTGATATTGTAGGTAACAAAGTATTTATTATGCAGACATTTAAATATTAGTAACAAACCACTTACACAAGGATTAGTTTAACGTGCTAGCTACATATATAGCGCACAAAAACGTGAGCAATACCATCAGCCCAAAATTAGGCCAAAAAAATTAGGCTAATCTTTATGTTTTTAGGTTATCATCTACTCAAGAATGTTTTAAAGTGTTTATTTAAAAGCATGTATATTCTTTATTTCTTAACACCTTAATTAAATGTTAGCTATTTTAATATCAAGGAGAATTGTATGAGAGAAGTTTAATTTATTTAGCATTAAAAAAATCAAATTATATGTAAAAAAAATATATCAGGCAGACAGAAACATTCTATTATACCCTACTTGACAAGGTACCATTGTTGTATTTATTATAATATCAGAAACAATGCACCACACCCTACTTGACCAGGTACCATTGTCGTAAGTACCACTTGGTCTGACAGAGATATTTTATAGAGATGATATAACTAAAAATTCAGATTATAGCTTGATGTCACATTGTTTTCTAGAGAGTCTCAAAAGCTGGTCAATAGAAATTCAGGGCTTGATTTTAAAGCTAATGCTCAGGTGAATGGCTTCCTCCTTAAAAGGGGCCTTTAGTTTTCTGCTGATGTTTGCAATGTTCTGAAGAAGATTTTAGTGGAGAACCTAAGGGTTTACAAAAAATTTTATGACCATATCAAGGATGTTGGTGAGAGTTTAAGATTTCCATTTTAAGTGATTGGTGTAAAAGTTAGAATATTTTACATTAGAATAATATAAACAGTGAGCTAGTTTCACAGTATATAGAAACCTATACAGATACTCATCCCTTGTAACATATTTCTGACGTGCAAGCAAGGAAATAAGATTATTAGGGGTTTTCTTTATATTTTTAAACACAGACTTTTAACATTATATTGTTTTCTTAGCATAAATTTATATGGGCTTTTTGTTTTTAATCTTGTCTGAAACTAGCAGAATTTGGTATCTAAAGCTCTATCACGGAACAAGGTGTAGTGTAGTAATCAATGGAACTACTCGGGTGCTTGAAGGTAAGCACGTGCTTACGTGCTCTGCTAGACTGGGACCCAAGTGCAGTGCTATAATTTATATATCATGACCTCTTATACAGTCACAAAAGCGCTACCGAGGCAAATGGTGTTTCCTTCCTGCACTAGACATAATATAACTCCTCCTTCATTGTCAGAAACGTAACTTTTAATTTGAAAAATGACATCAAAATAAATCATTTTTTAAAATCATTATGGTATGTGGAATTTAAAGATGTATTAATTTCATTAGGAAATGCCAGTCCTGACTGATACATTATCAAATTATATTTTAAAAATTCCTGACACATTTGTCTTTGAGAAAGAGCACTACAACTCAACCAAATGTAATATAGTGGTTGTTAAGTTGAGTTCAGAAGCAAATTAAAGTTGCATAAATTGGAAGTACATAATTTACCTCAGCCCCAGATAAATAATAATTTATGTACTCTTTATTAAATAATGTATTATACAATGCATGTGTCCAATATAAAATAAAGAGTAGGAACAACATTTATATTTCCCAATATAACCAAACATTTTTAGACATACCGATATGTACAATGTTTTCTGTATAGTGCACAGAAGACCCATAAACATTTTTTGAATGAAAGTGAAAATATTCTTACAATTTACTATAAAGACACTTCACCTACTCAGTCCCACACAGAGGCACTTTTCTCTTGAAGTGCAGAAAATCTGCAGAAAAGCTTAATGAATTAGGGAAGAGTTTTACACTATAAATGGCATGCAGGTAAGGGTAGGATTTTTTAACCAAATCTTTATAAGAACTTCAACACATTATTTCATACACAATCTGGTATGCCAAAAACTAAATGTTATTGTTTTAGCAGTTAAGCATTGTATTTTGCTTTTCATTTATCAGAAGTTCTACATTTTAAGAGGGGGCTTTCCTTTAAATTCTATTTAAAGTCAGAGTTCAACTATATTACTGTCCAAGTAGTTTTCTCACAGCTGATTTTCTAGAAACATTTAGAATCACAGTTTATTTTCAGCAGAAGTTTTTTTTCCCCCCCCTAAAGAATCTATTCATAGCTAAGCTTTTGGGAGGTAATGTTGCCATCATTTTAGATTCTTATGCATGTTATTTGTTCAGTGCCTTAAAAATGTAATATTAGAAAACAGGGTTTTTTATAGCTACCCATTAATATTATTAAATTAAGGTGCAACAAACTTTTAATAAACCCTGAATCCAAAGAAAAGAACTTCAGAAGCAATGCATATTGCAAACTCCACAATGGTCTTCATGCTGTCTCTGGCACTTCTCCCTTTTGGGATTAAAAACTCTGCTTGGGGAAGAGGGTTGTTTTCAGTTTTTTGGGGGGTGGTTTGTTTGTTTTTAATGATAGGAGTTTAGAGGTAATATTCTGAAATTCTCTATTGCTCCCCAGAACCTAACAATGGATGATTTCTACCTACTGTAGATGGGTTATTGTACAGTAATTTACTACACAGTTAATGAACAAAAGATGAGTAAAACTTGCCACCTGATCAGCTTCTGCTTCAGAATGATAGCCATTGTGTCCATCCTGAATCTCCTGCATTGCATGAGACAGCAGTAGGGCAAAAGAGGGGTAATAGGAAAAAAACATGCAGACAACAGGTGAAAGGACAGAATCATACTTTTTAAAGAGACAGTAGATACCTGAACATCAACCTATTTATTCAACACCTTCCACTCTTTGCTTAAACTATTCACAGCTATTAGGCCCAGCTATGGCACAATATGAAATGGAATATTTATTTGCAGTCTCACAAAAAGACTCAGTGCAGGTATCAAAGAACGCAAAGTATGTACTGTCTTTTTAAAACAATCAACCGTATAGCAGAGAAAATGCAGAATATAAATTATGTACGCCACATGCTTAAAAATAGAAGAAATTGAGTATTGCTTGTTGTGGTAGCATAAAGGGAAAATTCATGCATTTTTCATTGAAGAAAAAAATTTAATATTTTCCATATCCATTAGTATTCAAATAATTTAAAGGATTGCTATATTGTGTAGATCACATTTTAAATGTCCGTTTTTATGGTTTGATACATTTTTTCAGCAACTCCAATGTTACTGTCAAAAACATCTGTTAAAAATGTACCCAAATTACACCTAATAGCCAAAAGGTTCACATCTTTATGTACTTACACTTGTTGTATCATATTGGGATCTCTCTTATTATATAAATTAAATCATTTTAATAATCATAAAAAAATCCCTGTGTGTTACAGGCAAGAACACAAAAGGTCATTGGGTCATATGAAGGTTTTTTGTTTTGTTCTTTACTACTTTCAGTCAAAATTATTCTTCAATCGGCTTCCAAAATTAACTGGAATGAAACCACCATCATCTTTCACAGAGCTGGATAACATTCCAGATCAGTCCCAATTCACGAATGGAAAAACTTCTCATTTAACAGATAACACTTCTTATCCTAAGTCTGAAAGAAAGACAGTTTATATCTGCTTTGATAAATCTAATTTTAATCACTTCTATGAAACCCCAAAAGAAAACAAATTAACAGAAGGGGTTACATTTGTAGAAAACATAGGTTCCGTTGATTTTACATGCTTCTAAAAAATGTACAGTGCAACAGCCACCACTTTCAAATAACACAGGATTCCCAACATTTAGACCTTAGTGAATATAGTAGTTAGTTAAAGCTTAGGCCACAGAAATAGCTGAAGACTGTTTCTATATTTAAAGTCCAAAGAAAGGTGGATGCTGGAATCCCAGGAAAAGGAAAAACTGGAAGAAAGGCAATTGAGTTCTAAACCGACAGATTACGGATGACAGAAAGTACGCACAGGCACTGAAGATGGTTTCTCACCCTTGAACATTTACTGATAAAGGTGAAAAACCAAAGAAAACAATCAAGTTTTATTATTTTAATATATTTTCTTGCATTATTTCATTTCAATTACTGCTAGATTTGCCCTTGAAAATATTGACCTTTGTGTATTACAATTATTATACAAATCCAAGTAGCTTTCAGATGTGAAAATAATTGATTAGTCTCAAACCAGGGGATCAGGCTTAACTGATTCCCTTTAATAAATGCAAACCTTTGTTTGAATGACAGGGTTAAAATATTTAGAGAATAAAACAGACCATTAACCCTCTCTTTTCTCAATTGATTAATGTTCCAAAGTGAGAGGGAAGAGAAAGCTATGAAATTTTATATCATTAATGAACATTGGATAAGACCTAGAGTCTAAAATTATCATCAAAAAGATGTAGGTCATTGCATTAGTGTCTAACTTCAATCCAAACTTTCTCTTTTGCTCAAGGGCTGTAGCAATTAAGGTAAAACATGTACAAATGCAAGCATGAATTGAAATGTTATTTAAATGGAATAAACAAAGACTTACCGTTTTTCCATAAACTACTATTGAAATTCTTTAGCATAGATAACACATTAAACTCACTAATACAGTGCTCTGTAGTCCAAACCATGTAAGGATCAGTCGTGAGCATCCATTTTGTTGGAATTAATGTAATAAAACTGAAGTTTGTACTGCACATTTATAACATAACTTAAATATACGGCTCTCTCACAAATTGGCTTTTACTGCTCATGAAAAGATTGCAATGTATATAAAGCATTTCTATGGCAAACAAGCTGTTGAGCTGCATAGCAAAATGGTCTGATTGGTTCATAAAAAACATTAATGACGTAAAAAAGAACACTAAGGCACACTAAGCTCTCAACACTGCACGAAAGACAAACAGGTAGGAGGCCGTTTTGCCAATAGCCAAATGTATTCTTACCCGTATATCAGGCCTCTTGTATACCTGTTAGTTAAAATACAGAATGTTATCCAACAAAATGTGCACTCAAATGTTGCTTTGTGACAGAGATGACATCAGGTAGCAGATCAGATTTTCAGAGGAGCTCAGCTCCCACTATGGTACTTAAATTAGTAGCAAGATTTTCAGAACTGCACAATACACAGCTGCTCCCACCACATTCAACAGAGTGTGCTGAGCACTTTTAAAAATCTGGCCACTTCATTTTAGTCTCTAAGGTCCTAAGAATCTTTTTATTCAGTGACAACATACTAGTAAAAAATTGAAGAGTTTAGCAATCCTTTTGGAGAGCATATAGTAAGCCCACAATAATAGTTATTTCAAACTATGGCCCTACACTGATGAGTCAAACACCAGAGCATGTGTAATTCTAACTTTTCCCTAACTTACTTCCAAAACTTTCTAGGCAGCCATTATTATTTAAGTGCTTTCCACTGATACCACCTCATTATCACTAAGTTTTAATTTACATAAGACACTATGAATTTAGAGAGTTAGATTGCCCCCAAAACCAAGTATGCTGCTTGTGTATGGCACATGAGTACAAGTCTAACAAGAAAATGCAAGCTCAACATGCTTCAAATTCCACGTTCCCCTTCGAAGCACAATATGTTCCCTTCGGACCTTTGTATTTTTGCAAAAGCTTTGCGGTGGAGTGAAACTCCCACCATGGAACACAGAGGAGAGGGAGCCATGATACTCAGAATTTTTTAACAACTGTGTGTGTTGCTTTTGTGTATATGGATTCAGGGACATAGCAACAGACATTTTAAGAAACAAAAGATAGATAATCATTCAATCTGAAGTGCACAAGCTGATGGGGAGCTATCTGAAAGCCAAGAAAACTGATATGTATTCAAATCTGCCTGTCTAACTAAAGAGGTAGGCAGACACATTCCACCCTAGCTGAAACTTCTGAGTAGTTTCCAAGGGTACAGCACTTTAAAACAGCCCAGACCAGAGTGACCAAGTCACAGATAACTGTGGTGAGGTCTGCATCAGAGTGACTCAGAAGTTTTAGCTAGGGCAGAATGCATTTTGCAGCATCCTGTTACCTATGAATTCAGCAGCAGCGATGAGCAAAGAGACTCCTGAGTGTGCATATTGATGAGACCAAGGGTAGAACAGCCCCCCAGGGAAGAAGACAATAACAACACCCCCACCACACACACACCCCATTACACTTATTCCTAGAGATGCTTTCCCAACAACTCTGACTCTGATTTTTTGGGGCTGAACTTAAGCCAGCTAGTTAGTTTTCGCCCACGGCTAAGTAGGCCAGACACTGGGAAAGCAAGCAGACTAAAAGATCTAGATTCAATCAAAAGGGGGAACTGTTGTCTCTACTGATCTCACACACATGTTGAGCAGAAGGAATGACAGAAGAGAGCCTTCGTATTGAGACCCTTGATGCAAGAGCCCTCAGGAAGAGTGAGAATTATAAGGCACTAGACTCTACCCATAATAGGGTTACCATACGTCCGTTTTTTCCCGGACAGGTCCAGCTTTTTGGTAATCAAACCCCCGTCCGGGGGGAACTGCCAAAAAGCCGAACATGTCCGGGAAAAATACCACCGGCCGGGCACTTCCCCTCCCGCGGCTGCTGTGCTCCCTACCTTGACTCTTCTGCTCTGTTTAAAGCCGAGCTGCCCGAGCACTACCGGCTTCGGGCAGCCCCCATGCTTCCGGACCCTAAGCCGCCGGCTGGGCACTTCGCCTCCTGGGCTCCAGGGGCGCAGGGTCCAGAGGCATGGGGGCTGCCTGAAGCCGGTAGTGCTCGGGCAGCTCGGCGTTAAACAGAGCAGAAGAGTCAAGGTAGGGAGCACAGCAGCCGCGGGAGGGGAAGTGCCCAGCCGGCGGCTTAGGGGCCGGGAGCCTGGGGGCAGTCCGCGA